GAGGTTAGTTTAAAATTGTCTTCGCTCATGACCACGTAAGACTAGTTCCAACTATCGGGAGACATTCGTCCATGATAAGCCTGTTCTAGTCTCAAGTCTGTATACTAAACTTAGGATAAACTATAATAGAAAACGATAGCCCAGTTTATGCAATTGATTTATCTCAAATCCTGAGAAATATTATTGAATCAGTGTTAGTATTTTTCGGGTTTGAAGGCCGTCAATTTTTGGAATTTCTTTCTGACGTTTCGCTGGCGCGAGTGGTTAGTCTTAGATTTTGCAACACAAACGATAAATACCATAATTTCAAGAAAAAAAATTTATTCAAAACTCATTCCAGTTCATTCCAATAAATGTTAAAAATGTTTTTTAAACGGTTTTATTTAGCTTGCCCTGATGTTTGTTTGTGTCAAATTTATTAATTGAAGTTTGACCAACTTCCTGTTGACAGATTGATCTGAAATTTAATACATACATTAAGTTTTGATGACAATACAATTTAATAAATTCAGTATCATTGTAAATCCAAAATGGCCGAGGCTACAAAATGGCGGATAACATATGTTTTGGGAAAGAAAGTTTTTGGCTTTCTACTACTCCATCTTGTACAAAAAACAAGGATGAGGGAATCTTCCACGGAAAGGAAGGAAGTAATCAATTTTAAAATAAGTAACTCTATATATGGATGTGTAGATCATGCAAGATGGAGTAGTAGAAAGCCAAAAACTTTCTTTCTCAAAAATGAATCACTCCTATAAAAATATAACCCCTTCAATTCAACATATTATTGTTTCACAACTACCTCAATATGTTTGAAGGTGATTGACAATGTTTCGTGATGAATTTCACTAGTTCGGACTTCCATTGTCTATTATATAAAATGATTTGAAATCCCTGAAACAAGTAAAAAAAGAATAATTAAAAAAGAATAGTTGAAAATAACAATTATATTAAGCAACAATAAACCTGAAATGATTTTTATTTATTCAATTATTATATTTTTACTTGTAGGTTATTTTACTATCATTTCATTTCAGGTTTATTGTTGCTTAATATAATTGTTATTTTCAACTATTCTTTTTTAATTATTCTTTTTTTACTTGTTTCAGGGATTTCAAATCATTTTATATAATAGACAATGGAAGTCCGAACTAGTGAAATTTACCTCAATATGGGTATCAAATGACAGGGCTTGACTAAATGAATATTACTACAGGGGTATAACTATTTTGCAGGTCTGCAGGTCAAATTGTTCTCAGTAGACATTGCTCTCGTAATCTTGTAGGAGGACAGAAATTTTTACAGGTCGGGTCTGTCAGACATGAATCTCGACCAGGTTAATCATTTTCAACAGAAAATACTTCGAACCCCCACCCAAAAATTTGACAATTCTCAAAAATTGGAAATAAATTTTGCAGGTCAGTAGAAATTCTTGCAGGTCGGGTATATGCCAAACATGAATCTTGACCAGGTTAATCATATTCGACAAAAAAATTTCGACCCCCGCCCTTTGAGTATGGAAAAATTCCACATTCCTCATTAAATTGAAAATAAACTAAAAATTTCTAACCACCACCCAAAAATATCACAATTCTCAAAAAATTGGTAATAAATTTTGCCAGTCGGCAGAAATTCCTGCATGTCGGGTATACCAAACATGAAATTCGACCAGGTTAATCACTTTCGACAAAAAAATTCAATCCCTACCCTTTGAGTATGAAAAAATTCCACATATCTCTTAAATTGAAGTTAATCATTTTCGACAAAAAAATTTCAACCCCTTCCCTTTGAGTATGGAAAAATTCGATACACATTTCTTATGAATTGAAAATAAACCTTGCAGGTCGGCAGAAAATTTTGCAGGTCGGGTATGCCAAACATGAATCTCGACCAGGTAAATCATTTTTGACAAAAAAATTTCAACCTCTACCCTTTGAGTACTTATGGAAAAATTCCACATTTCTTATTAAATTGAAAATAAACCTTGCAGGTAGGCAGAAATTCTTGAAGGTCGTGTATGCCAAACATGAATTTCGACCAGGTTAATCATTTTCGACAAAAAAAATGTCAACCCCTACCCTTTGAGTATGGGAAAATTCCACATTTCTCATTAAATTGAAAATAAACCTTGCAGGTCGGAAGAAATTCTTGCAGGTCGGGTATGCCAAACATGAATCTTGACCAGGTTGATCATTTTCGATAAAAAAATTTCAACCACCACCCTTTGAGTATGGAAAAATTTCACATTCTTGAGAAAAGTGGAATTTTTCCGTACTCAAAATGTGGGGGTTGAATTTTTTTTCTGTCGAAAATGATTAACCTGGTCGAGATTCATGTTTGTCATACCCGACCTGCAAAATTAATTTTCAGTTTAATGAGGAATGTGGAATTTTTTCATACTCAAAGGGTGGGGGTTGAATTTTTTTCTGTCGAAAATGATTAACCTGGTCGAGATTCATGTTTGGCATACCCGACCTGCAAGAATTTCCGTCAACCTGTAAAATTTATTTTCAATTTAATGAGGAATGTGGAATTTTTCCGTACTCAAAGGGTGGGGGTTGAATTTTTTTCTGTCGAAAATGATTAACCTGTTCGAGATTCATGTTTGGCATACCCGACCTGCAAGAATCTCCGCCGACCTGCAAAATGTATTTCCCATTTTTTGAGAATTGTAAAATTTTTGGGTGGGGGTTGGAAAAGTTTTCTGTCGAAAATGATTAACCTGGTCGAGATTCATGTTTGGCATACCCGAACTGCAAGAATTTCCGCCGACCTGCAAAATTTATTTTCAATTTAATGAGGAATGTGAAATTTTTCCGTACTCAAAGGGTGGGGGTTGAATTTTTTTCTGTCGAAAATGATTAACCTGGTCGAGTTTCATGTCTGACAGACCCGACGTGCAAAAATGTTTGTCCTCCTGAAAGATTACGAGAGCAATGTCTACTGAGAACAATTTGCTGACCTGCAGAATAGTTATACCCTTACTCTTGAAGATGATCACTTTGGTGATCCAAACACGTGTCGAAGTGTTAAATTAACGGTTTGGTGTCGGAAAGAAAAACTCCGGTAATATTCATTACTACACCAAAGGTTCCAAACAGTGCATCAATCACAAGGGCTTGATTAGTAGAATAGTAGTACACTTTGAAAAAGAAGCAAATTCAATATGGCCGCAGCTACAAAATCGCTGATTACCTACATATTTTTTCACAACTGTCTCAATATGAGTATCAAATGACAGAACTTAACTAATAGAATAGTAGTAGATACACTTTGAAAAAGCTGCAAATTCAAGACGGCCGCACTAAATGAACTAAACAGAATGCGAAGAACTAGTGACAAAATTAGAAAGTAAAAAGTTGAAAATAAAATAAGTAAAAAAATATATTATGTTAAATGTTTTTATATTGAAAAAAAAAAGATACTAGTGATGTAGATAACTGAAAAATAAATACGAAGGTTATTTACTTTATTGATATCAACTTTAACAATGAAGTCTCTTCACAAATTAATTTCCTTCATTTTGAAATGTTTCTGGTATAATTTCGTTGTGACCACTTTTTTCTGAAATGAATTTCAGTTGTCCCGTATCCCCTCAATAACATCAAGAGGCATCATATGAACTCTTGTAAGAGATTAAGTCTGCCTATCTACCGATTTAGATAATTGACAAAACGAAATAAGTTTTCATCTGATATTATGTTTCGGCAAGATGAGGTACCTTTTTATCATGGAACACTGGTTCAAAAGTGGCTAAATGACAATTATCACAACCAGTGGATAGGCAAATGTGGTTCCTTAGAGGGACCTTCTAGTTTTTTTGAGATTCGTGACATCTGAAGTCGTAAAAGGTGAATTTCTATTTTCCTCAAAAAATATTTATTTATCAAATCCATTTTGCTCCCTTCAAAGTAGCCCCCCTCCGATATTATATACTTGTGCCAGCGTTTTTTCCAATCCTGGAAGCAGTTCTGATGTGCACTTTTTGATATGTTCTTGAGCTTTCTCAGTGATTCGGTTTTTATGCGTCCAGGGCGAGCGTTGTCTTTCGCATCTTCTCGATCTTCTATGAAAAGCTTATACTACTTGTAAACATTTTTCGGGCTAAGAGTACAATCACCTTATGCCACTGTCAACATTTCATGTGTTTTGAGCACGTAATCAATTTGTTTACACAAAATTTTATACAATTTTTCTGATCCATTTTTTCGATGGTAGAAAGAAAATCGCCGAACACGCAAAACACTTCTAACTCTCATATCTGTCACCCACCAACTAAACATGCTAATCAGCTGTGAACTGTGAACTAAGTTTGAGACGAATGTACCAACATAAAAAAAGTCCCTAATAGAATGTATGTATCGCGCAAAATTTGAACATTCTCCTTATTTATTAACAGTCTACGTACATTACATAACCGCAGCCTCTTCCAGAGCTCATGGTTGAAATAACGAAATTACCCTAAATCATTCCATAATGTAAGAAATGAATTCGAAAATAAACCACATTACTGTCAGGAAGTGAATGGTGAACATTTCAAATATTTATTGGCATTAACTGGAGTGAGTTTTGAATACATTTTTTTCTTGAAATTATATTTATCATTTGTTTGCATATCCCTAAAACGAAAATAAAACTGCCAATTCGACTCACGATTGGAAGGTCGTGATTTTCGATCCTAACCTCGACCAGATATTTTTCTGGAGAGGAATTGGGATGATTCTGCAACGTTACATAATTGACGGACAGCCATGATGCTCCCTAGGTGGCTCTGGGAGTTATTAACAGTATTTACCCAGGACACGAGGCTAATGACCAATACAGTACTTTTGATACAACTACTTCTATATGAACAATTAATTATAAGTAAATCACTTTCACCTATTCAGTTTGTTCTCCAAACATTCGTTATGGAATTGAGTCAGATATCATTCATAAGAACGCTACAGAATATAGTGCATAAAATAGGTATAAATTTACATGGAATACTGTCATCGTCAATGACAGACGATATCTATATTTCAGAATAAAACACTTGTTTTATTACCTCTTCAGCACCTATCTGAATAATGTTACAAAATGAGGCACTCATTTCATTACACACAGTTGTTACGTTACAGATGTGAAAAATCTACTCATGTTACGATGGGGGCACTATTCATATCTGCACTTTGTGTATAATGTGAAATCAAGTAACTGGTCATTTCCTTTTGTACTTGTTACAAGAAGAAGTAACTAGTTGTACTTGTTACAAGAAATAGTAACTAGTTGTCATAATGTAATTAAAACATCAACAATATATAAAAATAAATACAGTTTTTAGAACATAAAATGAATCATATACATGGCAATGAGCTATCCACAGGAAAATAAAATATAATTTGAAGCATACATTTCAACAATTACTGAAAAAAATTACATCATTTTCATTCTTACTCCTACATTCTCCATAAGAAAGTCAACTCAAACAAACGTTATTTAGAATATGAGAAGTAATACACTGAAAATTCTCGAATACCCTTAAAATATATTATTTTTTCAATCAAACCTCAAGTTCCTGATATTTCTAGTATGTTTTCTAGGTACATCTTTCATAGCTTGTTCAACTTCATCTAAAAAACTAGAGGAGTTATGTATAGTAGTACCTCCCAGAAGAAAATTAAAACTAGGATAATTCTTGTTGAATGAATGAACAGTCAGTGATTCCTCATAAGTGGCACCACCAATAATAAAAATAATGATGTCTTGATGTCTTCCAGCACTACTGTGGTTACCAACCAAAGGATAAATGTGATCTCTCAAACGACCTTTCACAATGTCCTCCAAAGTTTCATGAAGCAAAGGTTTATGCTGAGTGTAAACATTATCAACACCACTAAGACCTTTGATGAACCTTTTAGTTATTTTCACAGCATTTTCAGCATCATAAATATCACTTTGCCTAGCATGAGAACTTGCATACTCCAAAATATTTACAATACTTTTCAGTAATCTTTCAGAAATGTTTCGTTTCTTCAGGTAATCGATGAGCCCTGAAACATCATAATTACTATGGCCTTGATACCTCAGGGCATAAAGCATAACTAGCTTCGTCGCATCAGTATCTCTAATTTTATCACTTGCTAATAGTTTCTTTATGTTCTGCAAGTGTGAGGAGTGATCATTTTGAGAAGAAATTTCCTGTTCTGCCTCAGAAACATCCAGCAAATGGTATTTGTTCACCATAGAACTCAATTCACCGATAACTGTAACATGTTTAGTAACATTTCCTGATAATTTCTTGAACTGCGGATAAGCTTCCACAAAATTTTTCATGTCAGCGATACTTTCAATCTTTTGGTGGCTCTTAGCCTTTGCTTGAAATTGATCCATGAGTTGCTTGATATTGGTTCCAATTTCACCATAATTCAAGAAAATATTTTTGGCATAAAATGTATCTTGTTCAACTGATAATACAACTTCAGATAGTTCTTTTGGAACACCAGGTACCTTTGACAAATTCACTCTATTGTTACCGATTGTAAGTAACTCATGTACCATAGCTTGGTAGGTCCACTGATTTAATAAGGGAGTTATCGGGTCATCTCTTCTATCTAAGATCAATAATAAAGAGGCGTTGCTTTGGCCAAATGCAAAAAGTGAAGATTCTTTACTCATTATTTCATCAATTCTCATAGCAAGATCTTTACAAACACCAGAATTGCCTTGAAAGCGAATTGTGGGACATTTTTTTAAAGAAAGTAGAACAGATATTATGCCTTGCAAAGTTCGGAGTAAACAAGCGGGGTTCCATTTTAAAGAAATCATGCAGGTTGGTAAACCAATCGAAAATAAATGTGGGTTAACAGCTAGATAATCCATGTAGAACTCTTGTACCTCCTTCACTACTTCTTGTTCATCATGTTCAGCTAGAATTTTTATATCAGCTTTTGCTATGATATTACTGAAATATATGTAATAGGCTCCATACTTTGGTGATCTCAACTCATCACATAAAGCAGTGATATTTTTTTGAGTGGGTCTCAGAAATACTAGGCATTTCAAGTAACGAAGACCAGTTGAATTTGAAAAATTTGGAGAGTCGATCCTTTCTAAAAGAAAAACTTCCTTCTGTTGAATTTCTGATTGACCATATACCATGCTTATAACACTTGTAGTTTCCTTATCCATTAACAATACCTTCATACCAGGTTCGCTTTCTTCTGTCATTTTAACGACATATGCCTTTACGGCTGCTATTACATTCATTTTCGGTATTTTCCAAATCTAAAAACTTGTAATTTTCTGAAAGAACTGTTTACTGTTTATAATCCCCATTAAAACCCAGTGACGTTATAATAAATATGGACTAGCCAAGCCATTGAAGAAAGAACATTGACTCCAACGACTCCAACAACTAAAAAACGACGAAGAGATTTCACGGTCTGGCATTTACGTTCACGAGTTGCATATTTCCATGTCAAAATTTTGAGATTTGATTTGTCACATGATGCTGTGACGCAGTTGCCAAAACGTGTTATCCGTAGGTGTAGGTCACTTCACGCCCAGTCCATTATTATAATGTCTATGTTACAACCATAAATAGTGACATGACAATCTATTGACTTGTTATTTTGACAACATTGATATTGACGTTTCAAAAGTGACTGTCTACTACAAAAGTCCAAAGAATGACCAATTTTACTTACTACATACTCGACTGTAAGCCTTGTCGTCACGAACGGTTATCGTTATAAGAAATACTATTTATATGCATAGAAATAAATAAATCACCGTATAGGTACATGAACGATCTACAATAAAAATACTACTGATCATAAATTGTTTTGAACCTTTGAAAATGTGCTCATTTATGTTTGATAATCTCACTGGTCAATTGAAACAAGACAATTTGGTAATTATCAGAATTATCTATTGTGAGAAAATCAACTCAATAAACTTTATTTTCAATGTCGAATAATGCTTATTTTTTTTCATGACAGGCACAGAAGCGCCCAAACATAAACAAAAATATTGATTACAAATATGTTGTAGAATAAGAAAATCTTCAAATTGTGATGATGTCACAAATTGCATGTTGGGCAAATATTTTTTTGCCTAACATGAATCGCATCAATATTATAAAAATGATTGCAATGTAAGGCGGTACCACAGATGGCGATACCACAAAAATATCAATGATGTAGATGAATTTCTTGGGTATCATATGCGAACAGCATCTTTTCTATAGTGAACAGATAACACGCTTTATTAATGAATCGTATTCTTTTTTACGAATTCAGATTTTATGTTATTTATGCATGCATGCAACATATGGATATATTTGAGATATAATATAGTCACCTGGGAATCATTTTCCATCCTTAAACACACATCTCTGAGCATTTAGTGAGAATTAGTGTATATTGAATACACTAAATGGTTAGATTGGATTTAAAAAAAATACATAAAGTAAATATATATGAATTGAAGGGATTATATATATTTTTTTGAATATATATAGTTTTTGAACGATGCGTGTTCACTTTGGTTGGATAACTCTATTAGGATAAGATGATGGAAACTAAAAGAAGATTTACGAAATAAGCTGTGGGGATTGCTGCTATGAAACTGTATGATGGTCAGACTAAACAAGTTATTGTTTTGAGAACACGAGGGTGCATATTTGGTATTTCAGACCATGAAAGGGTCTCTCATCGAAATGCCTTACGGACATGAAATAAAAGAATAACATAGTTTGAAATTGTCCTGGCTGGTATATAATACTAGATTTTTAGATGGTTTCGAAATTTTGGAAATAGCAAAGTATAAGGCTTGATAAGAATAATGGACAGTGATAAAAATCCAGAAGTTCATTGATTATTCTTCAATGAACTACCATCCCAATATAAGTACTCCACTCAATTTATACTTGAAAAAATCACACTATTTGAGTTATTGTTTCTGTTAATTCATCTCCTGTTGACGCCAACTCAATCAAAGAGTTAGAGTTTTATGTATGTTTTGTGCCTATGTCGGAAAATTTATAAGTACTTCAAAAATTCCACATGTGAATTAGCAATACTATTGAAATACTAATCATTATAGATGAGTTTTTTCAACAAAAATTCAGTTGGCTTTTATCTATATGATTTCTATATTTTTTGTTGCAGTGAGTAAAAATTTTCCATATTGGCACAGATCAGTAAAATATATTCCTCTGTGATCAATTGGAGTATTACCTGGCAACACTGACCATCATGTTTAGACTTTTCACTATCAGTTCATGTCAAGTCAAAGTCAAATTGCCAACAGTTTATTGTCATTCCTGGTTTAACTTTTACGTGTGGTCGAGGTTGGCTGATTGATACATTAGCTAATAAAATATACATTGCCTAAAATATTTTCTGGAAAGTGGTTGATGAGCGTGATGCCCGGAAAGTGTTTTGGATGAAATTAAACAATTTCAGTGATTTGGTGAATAAGTGGCCTTGCGTTTGACACATACACACACCCAATCCGAGTAGTTTAATTAATTTATTGGTGACTGATACAATCCTTATCAAAATAAGATATGCAAGCTATCAAGTGTGTGGTGGTAGGTGACGGGTACGTATTCTCAACATTCGTTTTCTCTAAATCATGGCATGAAGTTCCCACTGCCATTTGTTTCTGATTATAAAAAGCACTGAACGCCTACGTTGTCTGATAAATGCAATAAATGCATGAGCGTGACAAGGACAAAGGGCAGGAAGTATTTCTGAGATGCGTTTTTACAACTTGTAGCTCAAAGATTCTTCTTATTGTCATACTTCATAATATAGTTATTGAACAATTTTTAACTGAACTTATCATTTTTATCTTCCAGTCAGAACAATCTTCAACTATCTATTTTTCTGAATAGCTTAGTTGAATGAATTATGAATTGTTTCAACTGAAAGGTATGCAGGATTGTTTCAAATACTATTTAATCATTCAAAAATGATCCATCAAAATTATTTAAGACATACTTAGAAAGAAAAATACAAAATTGTTTTTTGTTATTGCAAATGTCTAAAAATCATTTTGGATGTAATTCATCTGAATTGTTCATTAAAGAAGAATTATCTTCAATCTTGTCCAATATTATTGTCCTATAAAAGTGAAGAATATGGTTTCACTTTTGGAAAATACTGACTCCTACAAAATGGTAGGAACAAGAAAATGTGAAAAATCTTAATAGTGCACCCAATAGATCTTCTCCACTCAGCTGAATACAATCAAGGAATATTTGAAAAATAAAACTTCTTATTCTGCCTGTGCATGAGTTTTCATTCTATATGTAAAATATTTTATCTCAGGTTGAGTGGAAGAGCGCTGCTTCTCAACTCCTGTTGAGAAAGCACGAACTCTGCCTTTTATGTATAGGTATCTATATGTATATGTTGTGATTTTCTGGCAATAAAATCGATTATTATTATTATTAGTATTTCAAATAGCAATTTTTCAGTAAAATCTGAGGAAACTGTTTCCATTTGCATCTTTATCAAAAATTATTTTATAGGTGACTTTCAAGTGGAACTAGTTCATTTTATTTATTCACTTCATGATTGATGAATCTGATGAAACAAAATTTGTGAAACCAGTAATTGCTTCTATTGATACCCTACAGTACTATCAAGATAATTGATACGGACATATCACTGCCAAAAAAAATCTCACAATAGAAAATCTTAATAAATTATCTCTGGTCTTGATGCCTGACTACACTTGCCTGGAAAGTAATAAAGCTGCTGCCTCCCTTGCAAGGGAAGGTGGAGGCTGACAGTTTTGAATATCATGTTATTTTGCTATATATTTGCAACAAATAAAACTACAAAACACTCAATTATCACAAATTTGAATCCAAGATGAAAAATGCACAGTGGACATTGTTAATATCAACATAATTGATTTCTTTTCTCACATCATAGGAAGTTCACTTCTAGAGTGATTGGTGGTTTTACTGCATTTTTTAAATTTTTTCTTAATCCACCCACTTTCAATGGTTTAGCTTGGATATTTAACTTCTATTGTCAAATTTTTGATACCTTGGTTTACATTGTAGCAAATTCTTCTATTTATTTGAATAAACAGCGGCTTGCTGATAATGTTTCTATTAGTTTATCCATTACGAACTAACAATATTAGTTGGGATTGAATGAAATGTTTTTGTCCTCACAATAGATACTGTCAAATTAGATAAATATTACCTTTTGGTGATATTTATTGATGAGTCAATAAATTTCTAATGAAAAAACATCCTCAGAAAAGCCAACAAATACTCTGGTCCATATTGAAAAACTACTGAGGGTGACCCAGATAATATAAAGATCTACTTTTAAATCTAATGGTGCTACTGAATCCTACTAATTTAAGAAAGAACACATTATTGAACATTTATTAAGAATATAATAGTAAAATCTTTAATAAATCAAAACTGTCTGTAACCTATACATGATAACATCACTGTACAAAGGATATTCAATTGACAAGTGTAATACACTAATACTGATATTGCTTAGTACCTTTTTTTATTTTAACTTGATTAAAATATTTTCTAAAGATCTGTCGTCACTCAAATAACCACATACATTCAATATTACTTTAAGTAATTTGAAATGTTTTACATTTGTTACAAAATAAAGGTGAATTATTACTGAAACTGAAAAAAAATTGGTGATTAAGTGAACCTCAAGAGTCTGATAATAAAAAATAATTATCAACACTTGAAATGCAAATACAAATGCTATTTTTAATGAAGTGGGAATAATTGAATGAAATTTCGGTATCCCATATAGTTATATTTGAATTCAGAATAAATGCAGTCTTTACTCTTTCCAGAGTAATGTTGAAGACACCATATAAGTAATCAGATACATAATCTCATACAGATAAAACCACTCATGTATAACTAATGAGTAGTCGTTCTCAGAAATATTTGTAATGTGTTTCGATTGTTTTTCTAATATGACTCTGTAGTACGTAATCTTCAACTTACAAAGCATATTTCGATGGTTTAATTATATATATACCTATATGAAGTATTAAATTTTGTGGAACCTTCAAAAAATTATGTAACAACATGTATCAGTTACATAAAGACCGTATCTTGATGCGCGTTTCACCAACATTGTTAACATAACTGGGAGATGACATCGATTCTGTTTTTTAATGAATACAAGCTTTGTCAGGGCTTTGTTACAGATATTATTTACATGTTTATAGATTCAGATTTTTATCAAACACAACAAATCGTAGGTGGTATTGTCAGTTTGTAGATTGTTACCGTTAATAAAATACTCACACTCAATGGGGTTATAATATTTAAAAAATCACATTACACTTTCCACTGCACTAATTGACATTAACATACAGAAGATAGTACTCTTGTACCTGGGAAATTATCTGAGCTCAAAGTAAATGCTTGCCAAAAACTTAAAATCATCCGGAAAGGGAGGTTCTTGAGTGTTGAAATACCTTGAGGGATACCTAAAGTTACCATATAATTATATTAGAAACAGTTTTTTATATCTATTTATCCTGTTCTATGTCACTTAAAGAACAAATAAATATTATTTTTGAATATATGCAGAAGTGAAAAATATCCAGAAGTAAGTTTTTTAAATGTGGATCATTTGAGTGTCTATGTCTCCGACAGTAGATTGGAGCACCAAGTTTTGACTTCATATTTCTGTTCATCGGATAAAAATGTATAAGTCTAATTAACCATTATTCAAAAACTAGGGCGAGTTCGGAAATCAAATATTTACCTTAACGTATATGAATTGAAATGAAATATACATGCTTATTTTGTATTGGTTCATGATGCACGCTTCAGCTGTGGGTATATCTAGTTTTGCATTGGAAGCTGCAGAGAGAGAGAAATCGATTTCTTATTCGGCGGTTGATACTTGGTTTTGCAACAGACCGTTGTTGGGATCCTCATTCATCTTTGAAAATCGTTTTTTATTTTCATTCCCATCTTTGCATTGAAAGTCATCACTATTTCATTTATTTCATCACTTTAAAATACTGATTGAAAATTGAAAAAGTTATTATTGCACTAATCATTAGATAATAATCTTTTTTGTTTATCAGTTCTCTGAACTGTGAATTAATACCATATTTTATAGAGGATTTTTCAAAGATATTTTGTAAATAATTATAATAGAGAAACAGACAATTTGATTAAATGGCATCTTCTTTCTTTTTCAGTGCTGTTGGTAAAACATGCCTGCTGATCAGTTACACAACAAATGCTTTCCCAGGCGAATATATTCCTACAGTTTTTGACAATTATTCAGCCAATGTAATGGTAGATGGTAAACCTATCAACTTGGGTCTCTGGGATACTGCAGGGCAGGAGGATTATGATAGGTTACGACCTCTCTCATATCCCCAAACAGATGTATTTCTCATTTGCTTTTCACTTGTCAATCCTGCTTCATTCGAGAATGTCAGGGCTAAGGTAAGTTTTTCATATACATAACTAAGGAACTAGTTATCTTTTGTTAATTTTCTTGAAATTTTTATTTCCTGATATGAGTCCGTTCTAAAAATTTTCGTTTTACAGATTATAGGTATTACATGATTTTTTACTTTCAATAATTTGATGATGATTTTTTCGTATTTATTAATTTTATTAAAAGATCTAATATCAAATATCTCAACCTTGAGATTAAACTCAAATTAGGTAAACAATTTAACATCTAATAACATTTACTAAATTTATCTGTAAACTATTTTCATGAAGATACAAGCAGAGTTCTCTTAAATATGAAATGAATAAAAATAATTTTTCCTCATAATGAATATATTTTTTGAAAAGAGAATGCCCAAATTTTTTCTACTGTACAGAAGTCAATAAGGCAATAATTTCTGGAATAAAACAATAATTCGAACAATTTTTACAAGAAAACTTGTTTGAACTCACATTTCATTTTCATCAGTTGATGATAATAGCTTTGTTTGAACTGAAACATTTGCTCTTTAATCAGAATGAAACTATGTGCAATATGTTATTTGTCAGTGTACCAAGCTTGACAGTTGTCAGCGGGGTAAGAAAGTTTGGCAACGTCGAAATTATTCTCGTCAAATGTCAAACGTCAATTTAATTGCATTTATATAGGCTGTCGAGTTTAATATCTTCCATTTTCATGGTCCACTGTTCCACTGTTTTCTCGTTGGGAGTTATGAGACAGCGTCTCTTTTATTATCGAAAAATATATTGATCATCACACATATTTTGTAACCTTTATTAGTCTATGGCATAATGAATAGTGTTATGGCGTTAATATTTTTGAAGAGTTATGGTAATTTTGGTGACTAAAAAAATGTAAGTACCCTAATTTGACACGTATTTTTCCTTGCTCATAAGAATTCTATAGTGTTTTTCAACTTTTGGAATTGTACATTTTCTGGAAATTTATATGGTCATTTCAACGATTTCATAAGTGAAAATATGTTTCATATGGATTTCATAGGTCCTAAGTTGAATCATATCTGTTTTAAACCTTTTTTACATATAGGTAAATGTTGTCACCAAATCGATTTTAGGTATTGAGCATGTGATATGCCAAGGGGCACTTCTATCTTGCAGTATGTCACATGTCTGCCTTTATCATTTTGTTCATGTTTGATTATGTGGAAACTCTGAAAAATGATGAAGCTAGTTTTCTCACAGGCTGGAAATATTAGGGGTGGAAGTAATTCTGGCTAAACTGTACTTTATGGGATACTCACGGATTTTCGCGATTTTTTCTGGATGATACTACATGATGGTAGTAATTCAGAACGCTTTTCATTTTTAGTCCTCGATGAATTTATGCTAATATAAATGCGAAAAAATTATTAGCCATATTTGGGAACTCGTTCATTGAAGAAAATTATGCAGGAAATGTTTTCCTTAAAGAAACCATGATGATATTATTTTATATTGTCTTCTTTTCCCGTCTGAGGAAAATTTCATGATTGACATAACATTACTGATGTATTCAAATGCCATTTTGTTACCTTTCTGGAGTTAAATTTGGATTCTTAACAAAACTTCAATTTTGTTTCAGTGGTATCCTGAAGTGAGACATCATTGCCCAAACACTCCCATCATATTGGTTGGTACAAAGTTAGATCTTCGCGATGACAGGACGACCATTGAAAAACTGAAAGACAAGAAACTCTCTCCAATAACATATCCACAGGTGAGTTTTTATTTATCCTGAGTTGGGTTGTTCAAAGAAGGCATCATCTTGCCATTATCTTTTGAATTCTTATGATTTTTTGTGTGTAAATTTTCAGAACAAAGTTTTTTGAATCTTCAATACTGAAATAGTTTGTCTTTCAGAAACTATTTCAGTATTGAAGATTTTTATTTTTTTTTGAGAGTCTGAAATCGTGGTGAATGCTGAGAAAATTTTTGAGTGCTTTCTTGAGCCGTAAAAGAACAAACTAAGGAATGCAACCAGAATGAAAATAAATACATGTGTATCTTCTTTTGGAAGATACACATGTTTGAAGTTTAACTTTTTTCCATTTGTGTACAACTTTTGAGTTGTACACAAATTTTAAACTATATATTCAAGTTATAAACTATAAAGCTCAGGAAAATTTTATCAAATAATTTTAAACGAGAAATTTGTAAATGGTTTGTTGAGTCTGTTGTAACACTGCCACCTATTCTAACAATCTTATTTATTGTACTAGTAATTTGTTAGATGTTTTATCATAATTTTTTGACTGTCCATAAATTGCAATTGCCTCTTGGAATCCAGAGTCTCTCATTCATGTAAAACATAACATGCTAAGGTCTACATTATACACCTATTTTATTCAGGTGTCCTCTAAATTTACAAAAAAGTATATTTTTAGGTTAGGAATTTGAGAAGAGGCAGTTTTCAACCTAACTTTTCTATCAAGAAATTCTAGTTAACCAGTAACTGAAGTTATTAACTCTGAATTCTCAAAAACTTGTATGGGTTTTAAAATTACACACGTTATGTTGATTTCATATAGAGGCTTTCCAATAAATATTACTTGAATTAGGAAAACAGTTTTTTTTTTTTAAAACGCCGTTAGCAGGTTATTTTTTTATATAAATTGATTGTGATGAGGTAGAGAGTGATTCATTTTAATACTTGGCTTTAATTCAAATCAAGCAAAGGCATAGATCTATTTCTTACTCTACTTGAAGGATAAACAACTCTTGAACTTGAAACTTTTTGCAGGGTTTGGCAATGGCTAAAGAAATTAGTGCAGTTAAATATTTGGAATGCTCTGCATTAACACAAAAAGGACTTAAAACTGTGTTTGATGAAGCTATTCGAGCCGTTCTTTGCCCAGTGATGCCAGCCAAAAAGAAACCACACTGCCGCATACTGTAATCTAGATCATATGCAAATAGTTGTTGGACTTCAATTTTGAACCAATTGTTTTTTTCTTTGAAGGATGGAAATTATGTTTGGTTTCTTTTTGTACTTACAGCTTTAATGAGAAATTGCAGTTGGTTTTAAATGGTTGTCATTGTAGATTTGTACAATTGAATTTGTTTGATCTTGGATAGAATTCTTTGATTCCAGACTCCAGTAGTACCTGAAACATTTTATTTCTTTATTTGACTAGTGGATTGTAGAATGTCTGTTCGATAGCAATGTATAAACGGTTTCATAAATTTAATTTTTTATGCATTCTGCTTTTAACACTGTCTGTTCGATAGCAATGTATAAACGGTTTCATAAATTTAATTTTTTATGCATTCTGCTTTTAACACTGTCAAAGGAATTACGAATACTTTCAATAACCTCCAGATATGAGTGTTCCGATAAGATAATAGGTGTATTTTTCACTGTGCTGTTATGCTTCAAGAAGCTTTTAAAAACTCTTGGTGTAGAAAAAATTGTTGTATACCCTTAAATTTGTACAGAATATGCATGAAATGAAATGTTCTAGATATTATTATAGTCTGCAATCATAACTACATATATTTTGCGTTATAAAATTCAAGATCTGAGAGGTTCCATTGGCATTTCTGCTCATGAGCACAAAATAACATTGGGAAAAATGTTCATAAATGTGATTTGTTTTTTCGAATAATTTTTGAATAAGTATAATGCAAATAGAGAGTTGTTTACATTATTTGTGCATTTATATACCTAAATGAGTAATGTTAGTGGATACCGACAATGGCAATATGAAACTTGTTACTTGCCAGGCCAATGTGTAGGATTTAAAATGTGTTCACTAAAAACAAGAGACTAGTGGCGTCATAAAATGTCACATGTGTCAACTATAGTCTGACTTCCTTTAATTTTTTTCATATTTTGTATATTGTTATGAATTTTATCTTTTATAAATAGGCCAATGAAGGTAAAAGGGTCCATCGTGCGACTCTTCAATAATGAGCGATTGTTAACCAGAGGTGAAAATGAATTGAAATAATTTTAAATTTTCTTATTGAGGATAACTTCACTGTTATTTATATTCACCAATGACCATAAAACGAATTCTTTATTCAGTCTTCAGTTGTTCAATTTCTGGCAGAAGTCTACCTAAATACTGAAATCTTAACTACTGATTTCGTAGCAGTCCTCTTCTATTTGCATATGTTCTATTCAAAAATAATTATTAATGATTGTTACTACTTCAATATATCTAAAAAATTATTTGTGATTTTTTTTATTGAATAGTTCACTTTCAGTGATCAGTTGACAGACTTTAAACTTTATAATAATCTCCATTCATTTTCTGTTAGAAAATGAGTCTTGAAATAATTTCTTATTTTATGTATGGTGTTTGTAGGGTTGAGAGCTGATATCCTTGACAAGGTGATGATAATATACTTTCATACAGTGTGTATATATAGCTGTTAATAATAGTTATGGACTAATCTTTTACAAACATTTTTTTGGGTATTGAAACGTTTGTATGGTTCAACTTGTTAATATTAATTTTCAGCAGTTCATTTTCTCTTTAGGAATTGAAAACTACTTATATATAATTTAGAATTTGTTATGTGAATACAGATTTTTTGGGCCTATATTTGATAGTTTATCGGTTGTCAGACTTTGAATTTGAAGATAGTACACATTAATTTTCTTCAGCATTGAAATTGATTAACATAACATAGAAGTATTTTTTTATACAATAGTGTGAAGTTAATGTTGGATCTAAATTGATATATTAAATAATATGTATTGAAATTTTATTGTTTATTTTACACTTTCTCCCAAGAAATTCTGTAGTTTAGCGCCTTTATTCAAACGATGAATACTGATGTTCCTCTGTGAGAGGTTTCTTTAGCAGTAATGTTATACTATAATTCCAAAATAGTAGGCACTAAATTCTCAGAAATGACTGAAGTTTTTGCCTTAATCTGTTGTTACGTTATCCGTAAAATTTTAGAAAACTCCCAAAAGGTAGGCAACCAGGAATACATTTCAATTATCTTTCATATCGCATACGAGAGCTGCTACCATCATCGATGAAACGAGGAAACCTTTTGTTTGTAGCGATAGGAACTATCGGGTACAAAAAAGGGATTGGAGAATTTTTTTTTTAATCAGAAAATGGCTCGAATGTCTTGAACGCTAAATTTTGTTGATTGAATATTTTACGCTTTAGGCGGTTTTAATTGATCAGTGTTCTTTTCGACAGTGATATTTGGTCGAATAATTCGTTGGATTATATTATCAACTGCCAATTTGTCTCTACGGAGGATTTTAGATATCAGCCTTTTTTTGTGGTAAAAGAAGTCAACGTCTCGCGATTATTAGGGAATCGGTAATCGGAGGTGAGTTCTTATAATTTCACACAGTTGAATAAGTTTTCTATGTTCCATACCTCATTTTCCTATAATAAGATCACTACAATCAAATATGATTTTCTAGGCGTTTAACCCCATATATCGAAATCATCTCGAGGAAAATAAAAATTACTTTGAAGAGAATATATGTCATTCGATGGTCGCAATACTGTAATATTCATGGTCGCCTTCTAAGGATATAATTAAAGGAATGAACATCCGTTCCAGGAAGTGCAGTAATCCGTACAATCCAGTAATCTGGCTAAGTACTGCATAGCGGAATTTGTTTTTTGGTCATTTATTTTGCATTCCGTAACTTACTTTGGGTGATGACTGGACTACATTCCTCCGAGATATTTATTTATAGGTCATTCGATCGCTTTCACCTTTCCCCTCTTTCCTCTCTTCGCTTTACCGGTTTAGGGGGAGTTGAGCGTTTGGTCTATCTCTCTAGCTAAATGCGTCGTTGGACAACATGTATCCCGCTTGTTTGAACTTCCTTTTAAACCAGTGTTCTTCTCTGTGGATGACCTCAGCTTGAGACCACTTGATGTTATGTTGATAAGTCCTAACGTGATCTGATACTCCTGATTTGCTGGTTTCTCCTGGTTGTGTTTTTTTTTTGTGCTCAGCAATGTGGACTCCCAATGGCCTCTTAGTTTCACCTATATTGCCGCACTCACAGGGTATCAGGTGAATGCAATTCTTGGAATCGCAGTCTGCGTTTGGTGGCCTGGTTTTCGTGAGCTGCTACGGTTGGTGTTTCAAAATCTGAAGCAGGTTGTGATGTTGTACTTGGACCCAATTCTTCTAATCTTTTCCGACAGTCCTCTGAAGTAGGAAAGTACAAACACCGGTTATTACGGAGTATCTTGCAAGGCTATTGCTGTCTTCTAGTCAAAGTCTGTTCCACCATCCCTTTGGAGTAACCATTCCGCTGAAGATATTTTCTGATGATGCCTAGTTCCTTCTCAAGACCTTCCTTAGTATTACAGAGCACGAAAGCACGGTCCACTAGAGACTAGAGTCTTGATGGTGGTTCATTCGTGATTCAGATACTGTCCCGTGTGGGTGGGTTTTCGGTATACAGATGTTTCCTACTTAGTGTCGGTCCTCTTCACCAATACGTCTAAGAATGACAATTCATTGTGGACTTCTTTCTCCATTGTAAATGTGACGGAAGGTCTTACGCTGTTGATATGATTTAGAAAGGTGTCTAGTTCTGTATTCCTATGGTTCCATACTATGAAGATGTCGTCAACGTATCTCAACCAGACTCGGAGCTTCTTGTGGGCTTATTCAATGGCCATATATACATTGGCAATGACTGGTAGGAGTGGCGATCCTATTGGCAGTCCTTCATCTTGCGTACAGAATTTGTCCTTGAATTTATGTTTGTACTTGTTACAAAACTAAGAAAGTGAATGTCATAGACACATGTTTAGTTTTGATAATTTCTTCCGAATCTTCGAACATCAAATATATTCGCAAAATAAAGGGGCCAAAATCTCTTCATAGTGAGTCAAGTGTTATAAATAACCGGATGTATTTATTCGAACAGAACAATGGCCAATAATGTTTTTTAATCATAATTCCCAATGTGGATGATTTATAACCATTAGTAAGTTCTGAGAATTCTCACCGTTGTGGTTGTAATTTTCTTAATACCACTTTGAATCGCTGCACATATGTAGTTTTTACAATAGGCACACCGAACATTTGCATATTCTTTATTGATAAACGCCTGAAGGATATTTTATACTTATTTATTTTCGCACAAAGATAGAAAAAATCAGCTTTATCTTCAATCAATTCAAGGTTACAGAAGTGACCAAGAGATAGTTTTCTACTTTAGACTGTTGAATAAGTATATAATTCCAAACAGGAACTGTTATTTTTTTCATTATTTGAAAATATATAATAAGAAACCAACTTAAAATTTCAAATTAGGAAATGTGTCGATATTATGTTGAAATAAAAAACGAATGAAATTTTCAAGGAAGAAGAATAATTCACCAAGTGATGAATGAAACAATTAGTTATTCATTCAAAGAGGCAATCACTTCTTCATCGTTGGAAATTATTTGACCACTGAGCCATTTCTTCAAGTTTGGGAACAGAAAATAGTCCGAGAGGGCTAAATCTGGCGAATAGGGTGAATGAGGTAGCAATTCAAACATTAATTCGTTAATTTTGTCACGGAATGTCACGGAATAAGCTTGATCTGCTTATCTTTCAGGAGGACTTTCTTTCAGATCGTGCCTGAAAGTTACTTCTTTGCATGATCTACACATCCATGCATAAAGTTACTTATTTTCAAATTGATAACTTCTTTTCTTTCTTTGGAAGATTACCTCTTCTTTTTTTTTGTATCAAAATGGAGTAGTAGAAAGCCAAAAACTTTTTTTCCCAAAAATTAATCACTCCTAACCCCTTCAATATATAACCCCTTCAATTCACATTATTGTTTCCAACTTTCTTTCCGACTACTTCAGTTGGCATACGTTCCAACTGATTTGTCTTTACCCAGACAAAATCTCTATTTTTATCATCGTTCGAGTTCAAGTAGACGATTGTCGGATAATAATGCTCGAAAGTTCGGTAAACAAAAAACATTCACCTACATTTTAATTCATTCACTTGTTCTATACTCATCGTCTCGCGATTAACTGATCCTCACAAGAAATAAAGTCCAAAGTAGAAAGTGCATAATGGAAGGACATTGGTTTCTGTCAACGGAGGCTTTGCAGCCGACATTCAGATGTCATGTTAACTTAGAAAATAACCGCTCATTCTGAGAATAATTTGCTTAGTACCACTCTTGATTATCACGATGAATGTTGAAAGTTATAAGCCAATTACAGCTGACGAAATGCAGAATTAACAACTGTCAAGTGAACTTGAGTGTTGATTTTGTTGAAGCAACATCCGATTTGGAAAATAGGTCACGAGTTGTTCAAATATGTTGAGAATTATACACACATCGGCCAAGTCTNCTAATATTATATCCCAACCAGAAAAATATCCTAAGTGGAAAGTGTCAGAAAACAAGGTATATAAATTTGTCAATTCAGATGCACCAGTGTTTGACGACAATGCGGACTGGAAGCAAGTGGTCCCCAAAAACCTACGCTTGGCTGTGTTTCATGAAAACCATGACGAACCTTGCGCTGGTCATCTTGGTTATTATAAAACTAGGAAAAGAATTTCTAACCTTTATTATTGGCCAGGCATGAATAGTGATATTTTGGGTTATGTTAGGAAATGTGAAATTTGTAAGTCTCAGAAACCAGATCAAAAGCCTTCATATGGTGTTATGTCGAGTCGTATCGTCTCCAAGCCATGGGAAGTTGTCGCTACTGATCTGATTGGTCCTATGCCTCTATCTCATAGACGACATCGATTTGTCTTGGTTGTTACTGACCTCTTTACGAAATTCACTATGCTTTGTCCCTTAAAAACGGCTACTAGCGAGGCTTGCACTAAATTCATTGAAGAAAACGTGTTCATGGTCTTTGGTGTCCCAGAACGCCTACTCTGTGATAATGGTAAGCAGTACGTTTCGAAAAATTTCAAGAAAATGTGTGAATCGTATGATTGTCGAATCTGTTTCAATGCGCAGTATAGTCCTCATGCAAACCCAACAGAAAGAGTTAATAGGACTCTCAAAACTATGATTCGTAGTTACATAAATGAATCTCAATGTGATTGGGATAAAAAGCTCCATCAGATAGGTTTTGCTTTACGAACAGCTGTTCATGAAATTACCGGATATAGTCCGTCTTATTTGAATTTCGGCAGAGAAATTCATATGTCGGGTAAAATATTCAGACAAGGCAATGGTTCACAGGATCAGCCGTTGGATTTTGCCCCAAGACATAATTGGGCAAACCATGTTCAGGAAATCCAAGATTTATGTGCTAAAGTTGAGACAAAACTGAAACAGTCGTACTCGGCCAGTGCACAAAGATACAACCTTCGTCACCGTCCTCTCTCCTTAACGGTTGGGCAAGTGGTTTGGAAAAGAAATAAAAAGTTGTCTGATGCTGCTGATTAATTTCCTGGGGAAGTTGGCTTGCAAATTCACTAAATGTAGGGTAATAAAAAAACTATCTACCAATGTATACGAACTAGCTGATTTCGAAACAGGTCGTTCGTTAGGTTCGTGGCATATCAAAGATCTGAAGTTGGATTAAAAAAAAAAAATGTCAGTTTGTTGAAATAGATATTGGTCCATTTTTTTTTGAGGAAGTGAGAGGAGTGTTACGTTATCCGTAAAATTTTAGAAAACTCCCAAAAGGTAGGCAACCAGGAATACATTTCAATTATCTTTCATATCGCATACGAGAGCTGCTGCCATCATCGATGAAACGAGGAAACCTTTTGTTTGTAGCGATA